CTACTGCCTGGACATTTTATAATGACTCTGGTTCTCCAAAAATAATCTTCTTTCGCCCTTTTTCTCCCTCCTTTCCCCTTCCTTTCTCTGTAATCCAACTCCCACTCCCTCTTCCCCCTCACCCCACCTCTGTTTCAGGATTGTGCAGTAGGCAAGAATCACCTACATCCTAGGCTGAGTAGAAACCCAGCCTTAGAACAATAGGGTTTCAGGACCATGGAGAGCTGCACACCAGTCTACCGGTCTTCATGCTTTCTAGGGCATTAACACATGCTGTGACTTCCACCTCCATACAAGGCACTATTCTTTCTTCACTTGAAAAATTCTCCCTCACCCTTTCAGCTTCATCTACTCAGATGTCACCTCCTCTTGGAAGCCCTCCCATGTCATTCCCCCCCTCCCCACCACCCTACTGTGCCAAGTTAATGCATCCTCCCCTTTCCCAGAATGCCCTAAATTGTCCTTATCATTTCTCTCTTATACAAATACTTCAATGTGTACTTTGTACCAGCAACTCATCTAGGCTCTGTGGACACAAATGGGAGCATGCCTGTAAAGGTCCATGTATTTAGGAGTTTACATTCTAGTAGGAGACGGAAAACGTGTAAGATGACAATAGCTATGAATCAAATATAAAGCATGCAAAGTGATGGTATAGCGGGGGCATGGCAACATTACATACTGTTGTCAGAGAAAGAAAGTCTGAAGAGAGAAAGTTCGAGCTCTTTGAGTATCAGGAGGAAGAGACTTCCAAGCACGGAGGATTAATGAATGTAAAGTCCTCATGTGGGGCTGAGATGAGCATTTTTAAGGAATAGGAGAGGCCAGTGTGGCTGAGGTTGTAAGCAATGGAGAGAGTGTTAGTGGGTTAGGAAATGAGGTCAGAGATCTGAGCATTAGCTAAATCCTGGAAAACCTTGTAAGCTAGCATGGAGAGCTTGGATGTACTCTATGTGCAATGGGAATCCATTGAGCATGGAAGGGATTGAAGCAGGTGTGTAGTTTTGATTGATGGGTAATTGGGGCTGTTTTGTATTTGACTGAATGTGAGCTCTCACCTAGGATTCAGCCACATCTTCAGTGCTCAGTGCTGGGCTTGGCAATATAGGGTGTCTGTGTAAATGCTTGATGAGCAAATGAAGGAGCAGATGCATAGAACATGTTGAGGGTCAGGGGTTAGTATGGGCTTTGCATGGGAAGCATGCTTCTTATGACCTGGAAAAAGAAAGTCAATGTCATTCCAGCTTCCTCCCTGCTTCTCTCACCAACCATATCCAGCCAGTCATCTGGTTCCATTGATTCTTCTGTCGATATCCTTCTCTGTCAAAGCCATGCACTTGCCTTTATCTTTCCAACCCCAGCCCCAGCTCAAGCCCCAGCTGCTCTTGCCCAGAGCACTGCATAAGCTTCCTCCTTGGTTTGCCCATTTCCTGTTTCTTTCCTGCTAGTCCATCCCTGAAGGATGCTTAACACCCAGGTGACCCTTTCCCTCCTCTACCCCAACCCTCCCACTGCTTTCTCCAGAACTGAATGCCAAAGCCACTATTCACCAGCCCTCAGGCAACTCCTGTCTCTCTCTCTAAGTCTTGGGAACATGAACTAGTTGGACTAGATTGTCCTGTTCCCAGATCTAAGATACTGGTACTGTCATCTTTCCCTCTCCTTTTAAATCTCCTTCATTTTTATGATTTTTTTTAAGTAGGTCCCATACCCAGCATGGAGCCCAATGCGGGGCTTGAACTCACGACCCTGAGATCAAGACCTGAGCTGAGATCAAGAGTTGGATGCTCAACTGACTGAGCTACCCAGTGCAGTGCCCCCATCTTTATGATTTTTAAAAACTTTTTATTTTTTATTTATCCTACTTTTTTAAGCAATCTCTACGCCCAATGTGGGGCTCAAACTCATGACCCCGAGATCAAGAGTTGCATGCTCTACTGATTGAGCCAACCAGGAGCCCCATTTTTTGGTGATTTTTAATTGTCGTGGGGCAATATAATGTCACGGCGAAGGCCTGGTGGGCCTCCTGCTTCCACTATGGAGCAACTTAACCTCTAGGTGCTTCCATTTCCTCAGCTAGAGAATGACAATAACAATGATATCTGCCTTAGTAGGTCAAGAAAAAGAAATACCTTAATTTACGTAAAGCGCTTAGAACTTCCCCCAACCATGTCTCTTGATTATTTGGTTGCTGCTATCACCACCATTATGGATGTACATATGTACGTGTTTACCAGGCACTGGGTTGGCCCTTCACATCTATGATGGAGATCAGGGGTCAGCAACCTACCAAGTGTCCCAGCACCTGGTTTTGCATGGTTTTCGAGCTAAGCATGGTTTTTACATCTGTAAAAGGTGTAGGGGGTTGGGGTGGGGGACAAAATGAAAGAAGAATATTTCATGGCTCATGAAAATTACATGGAATTCAAATTTCAGGGCCCATAGGTAGGATCACTGGCACACAGCCATGCCCATCGCCTCACCTCTGCTTCCTTTGGTATTACAATCCTATGGCTCACAAAGCCTGAAACATTTACTATTCGGCCCTACACAGGTTTGCCAACACTTGACCAGGATTTGTCCTCTCGACAACTCCTTTCCCCCTTCCTTTCTCTGTCATCCAACTCCCACTCCCTCTCCGCCTTCACCCCACCTCTGTTTCAGGATTGTGCAGTAGGCAAGAATCCCCTACATTCCAGGCTGAATAGAAACAACCTGGCCTTAGAACAATAGGGTTTCAGGACCATGGAGAGCCCATGCAGTTCAGGCGAAGAATTCGCACCCAGTCTTTCTAGGTTCACAGCAGCATGAACTGTCAGTCACCTCACCCCACAACCTTGAAAGCACATGACAGACTCCTTGAAGTGGGGCACACAGGCCATAGTCTATGACATGAACTCGAGGAAGGGCTTCAGGAAGCGGGGTTCAGTCCCCCCAAATTTCTCTGTTACATCGGAGGCCCGACCTCCAGCCCTGACAGCACCATTGATCCTCAGCCTGACCCTGGGAAGTCAGGTCCTGGGACATCGCAGGAGCGTGAGTGTGGGTTTGGGGATGAGAACACCCTCTGGGCCAACCGCCCTCTACCACTGAGCTATGTTGCCCCTTCTGTGAACAGCAAAAATGGGATCTTCCTTCTAGTGTTTTGGGTGGATTGAATTAGAGTCTCCATGCTTCCTACCCTTGTCCCACTTCCTCTCTCTCTAGGCCACTATTTTTCCATATGAAAAATGATAAGACCGGGGTGCCTGGGTGGCTCAGTTGGTTAAGTGGCTGCCTTCAGCTCAGGTCATGATCCCAGAGTCCTGTGATCGAGCCCCATGTCGGGCTCCCTGCTCAGCGAGAAGCCTGCTTCTCCCTCTCCCTCTGTCTCCTGGCTTGTGCTCTCACTCTCTCTCTCTGTCAAATAAATAAATAAAATTAAAAAAAGAAAAGAAAAATGGTAAGACCTTTCTGCTCTGACACTCCGGGATGGTGATATTGTATGGGTCTTATTTCAGCTCTGTGTCCAGCTCCACACGCCACGATTCAAGTTAACAGGGAGGCTGCACCCTGGTTTCTCTGGAGAAGGTCTCATCAGGTTAGGTTGGAGGCACGGGGGACGTTTAGCTGGGTGAGGAGCAGGGACGAGACTGGGGATAGTCAAAGATCCATCTTCAACTCTTTGCGGAGCCAACTCTAAAGAGGGATCTGGGTGCAGGCCCCAGGGGACAGAATGGAAATGAGCCATAAACGGGGTTTGTTCATAAAGTATCAACTGAATGAAAAGGACCCGAACGGAGTTCTTTCTTCGCCTGAACCGCATGGGCTCTCCATGGTCCTGAAACCCTATTGTTCTAAAGCCAGGTTGTTTCTATTCAGCCTGGAATGTAGGGGATTCTTGCCTACTGCACATTTACTGAAATGATGCTGAATTAATTCGAATGGAGTCAGAATGGACTGGGGTGAGCTGGACCAGATGGATGAGTTAAATGTGTTAGGGCCGGGTTGGCCTGGCCTGACCTGAGCCGAGAGGGACTGAATTGGACCAGACGGTGCTGACATTGGAAGGGGGTGACACCTGAGAAAGAACTCTGCTCTGGAGCTCAAGACACTTGGTCCCCCGGCTCCAGTTCAGGCTGGTGTCTTGGGCAACTCCCTGCACAACTGTGGGCCTCGGTGCCCCCATTTTATCAAGTGAGTGCTAATAATAACTCTGCGGCAGAGATGTTATGGGAAGGGTGTGAGATCGCTCATGCACAAGAGCCTCGTATCTCAAAAGAAAAAAATAAAAAACAAAGACAAATACTGCAATGTAGCTAGTGACATGCAAGGTGACATATTCAGGGTGAAGTGTATGGACACCTACAACTCCCACTGAACTGTGTAAGGAGATAATAATAAGGTGGACTGATGGATGGGCAGGAATACAGACAGATACAGGACAAAGCCAGGCTAGTAATGGGGTAATGGTTGACTCTCAGTGGTGGGCACATGGATGCTCACTCCAAAATTCTTTCCACTTTTCTGTTTGAAAATTTTTCAAATAAAATGTTGCACAGGAAATAAAAAGCCCTGAAATATGTGAACTGCTAAAATATCAGGGGCGGTGAAAAAACTCAGCCTCTGGAGGTGAACGGCAAGTGTCTGAGTCCCAGCTCTGTGTCTCCCTGGTTGTGCAGACCTGAGCAATGACTTCAGCTCCCTGAGCATCTGTTTCTGTATCCCTACAATGGGACTATTAATAGCATTTCCCTCACAGGGTTGTGGGAAGTATCAGAACAGAGCCCAGCACCTAATCAGCACCTAATAAACACTCGCTATGATTGGGTCCTCCCAACAAGCTGTGAAATGGGTGCTTGCTATCTCCATTTCACAGAGAAGGAAAGTGGGGCTCAGAGAGGTTGGGCAACCCCTCCAGGATCACACAGCAAGGAAGCGGCTTTCTTAGTGGAGGAGGGACCGCAGATTCCTGGAACCGAAAATAGTCCCCAGGCCCTAAGTCTTTTCGTTGGGCTCACCCGATAGGATGAAGAAGATGCCAGAAACGAAGGCCAGAATGGTCCTCTGTGGGCGGATGTGGCCTATGTTACTGATGACGAAGGCCGTGAACACAAGGAAGAGACTGACCATGGGGAACGGGGTGGCCGTGCGCACCGTCTCTGAGGGAAAGGTAAAGGGAGAGACAAGGGGTGAGGGGGACTCTGCGAGGGATGACATCTCCCCATTCCCCTGGCCTCTCCTCCTGCACCGGCCCCGCCCCTTTATGTAGCTCCTCCCCTTCCTGATACTTCCATTGCTGACCCCACCCCTTCACCCAGGCCACACACCTTGAGTTTGACCCCACCCTGTTCCCGTGGACTCCACCCACTGCCCAGGCCCCGCCCCATCAACCTGGCTCCTCCTCTTCACCCAACCAATGCCTTGTTTCAAGCCCCCACTCCTTCTCCTCCACCCCACCCCTTTCCTGGTGCTGCCCTTTCTCCCAGGACTCGCCCCCGCTTTGTCTAGGCCCCCTGCTTCCCCCTCACTCAGAATATTCTCCGTGTTCTCCGTCACCAAGTTGATCTCCGGTTCAAGGAAATACTCCGAGGCCACGCAGCGACCCTTCTCCCTGCCTGGGGGTAAGATACGAAGGCAAAGCTGGATGAGGGGCTCCTGAGCTCTGGAGAGGCAGTGAGGGGCAGGTGGCACAGTGGGGAGACCCCGGGATGGGTATGTGAGGCTGAATCCAGGGGTTACTGTCTATATTATTCTTAGCGGGTCAAGAAGGGGATGCACAGGAGGTCTGGGAGTTCCTCTTCCAAGCTTCCCTGGAGACCCATGGATGGACGACAGGGCTGGAACCCTGGGTCCCAAAGGGGTGGGGTGGGGGCCGTGGGCGAGGACTTCTTAATCCCTAAAGAGGATTGTGGGGGGGATTCCAAGGAGGAAGATCTCTGTGGTCTCTTGGGGGGGGGATTTTTTATTCTGCCCATTCAACACTGGAACTGTGCAGGAGACAAGCTCCGATGCTAGACTCTTGCTTCTAAGAGTGGACTCTCCAGGGATTAGGGACTTGGCATGGGGGGCTCTTAGATCCAGGAAATACAGGGCTAGAAATCGGGTCTCCAGGTAGAAATTTGTCTCTCCAGGAAAGAAACAGGATCCGTTTCTGGATTTCTGGAACCCCAGGGATGGAACTGTGGATAAGGACCCTCGGGTCCCAGGCAAGGCAGAGACAGTTGAATGGAGGGCACGTGGGGTCTGTACCTGCGAAGAAGCAGACTCGCCAGAGGCCGGCGTGCAGTGCCATCTTGACCTCCGTGGTCTGGTTCTGCGGCAGGACCGTTCCCTCCTCCATGTACAGCCAGTAATCAGTGCTGACCGCGATGCCCACGAGCAGCAGGCCACACGCCCCAAACACGCTGCTCAGCAGGGTCAGGGCGCGGCTGCTGCAGTGACTCATCCTCAGCGGCGGGGGGCGCCCTGCGGGGCCTGAGACACGCGAAGTTGCTGCCTTGGAGAGCCCTGAGGGGACTAGCTAGAGTCCCCAACCCCAGGCAGCCACCTGGGACACCGATCCCAAGCCAGAGACACCATTTCTTAGACTGAAACTTCTCAAATCTGACCTCTGTGCCCTAACCCATGACCCCATTTCTGCATTTGAACCAGTGACATCAACTGTTGACCCTCAACCCCAGGACTGGACTTCCCAAACCTGACACTTGTGTTCTGGCTCTGGATCCTGATGAGAGACCCACCACACCAGATCCCTGACCCCAGGATAAGATTTCAGCTCTTATCCCCAGATCCAGAGATTGAGCCTTAGCTCCAACCGTGTGCCTGGACCTGGGTCCCAAATATCATAACGCTGACTAGAAACTCAACATCTATATTCTCAATGCCAGAACCAGGCCCTCCAACCCTAACCTTATGCCCTAACCAGAGACCTTAATCCTAGACACCAGCCCTCACCAGAATCCTTAACCTTGAGCCTGGACTCAGAAACTATTACATGGATCAGACATTTCAACACTAGAACCAGGGGTGTCTGGGTGGCTCAGTCGTTTAAGCGTCTGCCTTCGGCTCAGGTCATGATCCCAGTGTCCTGGGAACAAGCCCCGCATCTGGCTCCCTGCTCAGCGGGAAGCCTGCTTCTCTCTCTCCCTCTCCCCCTGCTTGTGTTCCCTCTCTCGCTGTGTCTCTCTGTCAAAAAATAAAAATAAAATCTTTAAAAAACCAAAACAAAACACTAGAACCAGGCATATTCCCCCAATCCTGACTCCTGGTACCCTGACCCCTTTCTTTTGGACCCTGCTAAATAATTACCAGAAATCCCCCAAGTAGGTCACTAACCAGAACCCTAACTAAGGGTCCTACTAACCAAGGACCCACTAATCAAGACCCGAGCAGAGGTCTAAACCTAAGTTTAAATCCTTGGACTCTTATCTTGACCTTTAATACCCAATTCTAACACCAGGACCATGACCCATGACCTTCTAACTTTGATCCTGTGCCATGACCTCAATTTGGTTCCCCAATCTGAGATCGCGGCTCACGACTCAGATCTCAGGTTCCAGAACCCTAATTCCCCCCATCCCAGATCCGGGCAGGCCCCTGAACCTAGGATACTGGGACTCCATCTCAGACTGCTGGATCCAGAACACTGGGATCCCGAGACCTGGAGCCTGGATTTTGGCTAGAGACTCCAGAATGTCAAAACCATGATCTGGGACCCCCCTTCCCCTGCAACTCAGCACCCGAACCAGAGTATCCTAGACCATCCTTGAACCTAGGGATCAGTGCTCTGAACACTAAAATTCCAAATCAGGAAGCCCAGGATCCCCATCCCCCTCATGGGCCATCACAAGATCCCCAAATTCCTTACCAGAGATTCTGGACTTCAACTTCCACGCTAGGACTCCCAATTACAGACCCTCTTCAACATCTAGTCTGGAACTCTGACCCCTCTAACACCAGGCCCTCAAAACAAGAGATCACCAGTTCATAGCTGTGCCCTTCCAGATTCCAGTCAGAGATCTAGAGATTCTAACTAGGGAGTTCCTAATCTCTTATCTACCACCCTGCCCCCCCCCGCCCTTAACTTTTCCCTAAACTACACAATCCCATGATCTGGGGGACTCAACTTGGGATCCCCATCCTTCCTCAGCCAAAGACATCTATAGCCCTGAATATCAGCGAAATACCAGCGATCCCCATCATCTTTTTTATCTATGAAGGTTAAGACTCCTAAACACTCCCCAACAATGCAGCCAAGACTTAAGACCCGTTTTTCTCTAATAGGAATTCTTGGAGCCTTGAAACTCTGCCCCATGCCAGTGACGATCTTGGAGTCAGACAACTTTCATCAGCCCCCCCCCC